ATATTTTCTGAATTAATTGAGATGAGCAGATGTCTTTTTACACCTTCTTATTCAACAGGTAGAGAATTTACCTTTAAAGACTGGGCTAATTCTTACGTCTTATTTGATTATACAACACCGGGGGTTATCAAATGCATGTTATAGAGCGGATATATGTAAAAGCCGTTATATATTTGATAATTTCACGGTTGTGGTTTTCATAAAATCCACATGAACAGTCTTAAAAGATGGTTTTATTGATACATTCTCCTTTTGTACGATGACCTAAGGCCATCAAAGGTCATGGTGGTTTTAGACAGGTTAAACAATTTTAATAGTAAGAATCCTTAAAGACAAAAATGATGAGCGATCAAAGACATGAACTATTTCAATCATTTTGATAATGAGGTTTGGAAATGTTTGAAATAATTGCACCTCGACAGCAATATATAATATATGAATTATAAGTCACATTTAATTCGTAAAACCGGATGCATGTTTCCCTCATCAAAAAGTGATTTGGGCAATAATTAGGCGTGTGTCCCCTTCATTAATCAAGTAATTTTAGCAATCATGTGAATGATTTAACCTCATCCGACAATTAATTCGATTATTGTAATTTCAGCATGACAAATGTAATTTCAACGTGAAAAAACGTAATTTCAGCATGAAAAATGTAATGTCAGCTTGAAAAATGTAATTTCAGCCTGAAAAATGTAATTTCAGCATGAAAAATGTAATGTCAGCATGTAAAACGAATTTCAGCATGAAAATTTGAATTTCTCTACAATCCCAGAAAATCTCTAAAATATTGACCTTGATCAGAAAGTGTCGATGACAAGGGCGTTGACTCTAAAGAACATCGACAGGGTCTATTCCTAAAATGCCGCTCAATCCCACGTACGTTTCAAAGGTATAGACAAAGACGTAATTTGTATAACTGTTTGTAGATACTTCACTGTATGGTATACGTCTGCTGCATTTACAATAAATGGAAGTAAAATCGATGAATCTGCGATGACCTGCAGAAATTTATCTGGAATATATTTCTAATGTATTCTTGTATTTCAAGCCTATCCAGTTCCTGTATGTGCAATATTTAAGTTACCCCCTACTAAAATGGTTGGTATATCAATTATAGCTTCAAATGGGAAAACCCTGATTGTTTTCTTGGCAAATAAAGCAAATTGTTTATTTGGGTATTAGAAGGAAACTCATCTGAATCTAGGAAGGTAAACTTGGCCTGAAGACGGTCAGTCTTATTTACTTTACACTTTAACAAAATCCGCCAAAAACAATATATAAATAAAGTGCCAAGCCCATTAGATCAGGGCTATATGCTTATTCTTTTCATGGTTTTATGGCTAACACCTATGCAATAGATTCTAATCATTACATACAAGTTTTTATGGATGGGCGGTTTTCTCCCGTGGGATAAACGATTACAGAAGAAAATGATGAATAATGTTATATGATATAGTCAGTAAGGTGGTAATTGTTTATGTAAGCATTATAAAGAAACATTTTTATTATCTGTAATTGGTGATTATTGGACTGGTGTCAATACACCATCGGCTGGTAGCAGATATAAAATAGAAATATTGAAAAATGTTTGAATTAATGTCCCAAATCCCCAGGATACTCCGATAATAATGTGGTTACGTGTGCAAAAGATTGTTGTTGGTTTTAATATAAATTCTTTTCCCAACTGTATCGTTGATCTGGGCGCTTTCTACAACAGATAAAGGCGGGGGCACGGTGCCTCAGTGGGTAAGACGTTGGCTCAGTGATTAAAGCGCTGATTCGCTAACCTCGAGGTCCCATGTTTTATCCCTTCGTTGGCCGAGAACGTCCATGGGATTTTTCGGCGTGGTTTCTCCTTATCATTGGTGCAGGACAGAAGGCTTGGTAAGGGACAACGTATAATCGTTAGGATGGGATTAAAAGCCGAGGTCCCGTGTACACATTGGCGTGCACGTAACAGATCCCATGGCAGGTGGAATTCGATATAAGAGTAGGCCGTAGCGCCGCCGTAGCGCCGCTGTTCGGGCAAAATTTCCCTCATAGCACACTGTATGGCGTATGTCTATGCCCGTCTTCATTAGCCCAGTAGGAACAGTAGGACGCTAAACCCCAGTTCATTCGTACCATAGATAAAACAACATAATTCTGCTAATGTCTTGATCGAAAGAGTGTACGGTGTTGGCAATATAATTTATAGATACATAAACTGGGAGCAGTTAACCAATCTGATATCATTCCGCCTAAAACTCAAAACCTGGCAGATATTCTATAAAAAATTAAACCACCTTTTTTCGATTCTAGACAATACTCGAAAAGGGAAAGCGACAATGTTATAAATAACCGGAAATAGATAATGTAATCAATAGAGTTGATTTTTTAGTGGTCCAATAAGTTCCAATCTAAATGACATACATGTATATCATTTTGACTCAATCCAGCGAAATATGCTTCGCAAGGAAAACGGTCGAAATTTAAGGAATCTGCGCATATTTGCCCTTTGTTCAGATTTTACTAAATACTGGACAAGAGGTATATCCGGTTTGGCTACGGTAAGTTTGGGTTATTAGTTTGAAGAATTAGATTTGTTTATGAACACAAAGAACACGGGCGGAGAATGCTTTCAAAATATCTGTAAACTGTCTTAAAATTTGTGAAATTTCAATACTTCAAAAACGATGCTGCATTAACAGGGTTTATGTTTTCTTAACAATTTTTCGTGTTGTGTAATATTGAACTACAATATAATAAGAAAACACTGGCCAACGTTTTTAAATAAACGGAATTATTTATTGAAATTCTTTATGGTTTTATAGTACTTACATAACATCTGAAGGCCAGCTTAAATGAAGAGCCAACATATTTTAGAACAAGAAGATTTTTGTTCGTAAGAATTAAACAAAATTCAATTCTATGTGTAGTCATCTGCAGTATATTAATAAACAAAGCAAGGTGGTCTTTCATACATCAAAACTCAATTTAAAATCCGACCAAAGTGCTGAACAATATCCGTTTAAACACTAGCTAAAACTACTACATTTAGCGCCAAATGCTTTAAAAGCATGTCGTTTCTTGCCTTTAGATTTATAAGGAAATTTATACTTTTTGTTGACAAGCTTTGTTTTATTAAAAGCATGTGTAACTCCCCATTGGTCAAAGAGACACGTATTATTAGCAGGTGTCTAATAAGACCCTATGTGGACAAATACTGACAAGTTGCTTTTCTTTAGTTTCTTTATTAAAACATCTTGTCAAGAAGCCAAAAAAAGGAAACCCTCCCAAGTTCACAAGTCTGTGAAAACAAATGTAGTCAAAGAAGAGGTGGCAATATTTGCGTCACTTTAAAGTTAAGAAGAAAGAAGTACCCAGGAGAAACAGACGAGTGTTAGAATTAAGGTGATATACACCTCACCAGATTCCGCCCATACTACAGACTTTATTTATTAACTTAAACCAACACATGTCTAGAACATTAGTTATCTCTGTAATTCAACAAGTGAACTATTTTTTTTTTTTTTTTTTTGTTCCTTTTTGGATACTCACTTATAGCCCATCATTGTCGTGATTGAAAATTATAGGGCCGAAAATTAAAACCAATCCTTCGCTATAAGGAGCTGCGGTGGTTCAGTCAGTAAGGCGCTGGCTCGCCAAGCAGGAGGTCCGGAGTTCTATCCCTTTGTTGGTCGAGAAAGTTGTCCGGCGTTTTCCAGTGTGGCTTCTCCTTGTCAGTGGTGCAGGACGAAGGGGCTGAGGTCCCATCTACATATTGGCGTTCACGTAAAAGTAAAAGAACCCTTGCCAGTTGGAATTCGATATAAGAGTAGACGCTGCTGTCCTGGTAAAATTTCTCTCATAGCATACCGTATGGCATATTCCCATCTTCATTAGCCCAGTCATTTCATTTCATTTACTGAATTGTCATGTAGAGAGATTATCCCTACGTGATCCATATAAAATACATAGAGTTGTAACTGATTAACATCACTTTGGGTTGTGATCAATGATCCAGGTAAGTCGTGTTACAATAATACCTAATCTTCGTGCACAAGAATAACAGCCCTCTTTATCACATTTAACATTTATACCACTTCTCCATTTCATTATTTATTTGGGAGTATCCTAACTTCTCGTAGTTTATCGACTTGTCACGTCCTAAACCGCCATCTTCGTTTTATTGGTAAATAGAACTGTATGACCTAGTGGGAGGTAAACGACCCAAGCATGGTTTTGGAAACCCCCTTTAGTGATCATGATAAGATTGGTTTATTTCAGTTGCAAGCACTTAATGCAATTACTTCGCGGGTCTGGTGTGTTTTGATTTCTTATTAATATAGGTATTATTTTGACCGGATGAGGACATTTACACCATCAAGAACAGACTGTGGTATCTAATCCTTGAATAAATCTTATTTTATTTAATATATGGGCATGACTTCCAAAACACACAAACCATGGCAGAGTATGGCATGTTTTGATTTCTAACTAATTAATATAAGTAATAATATGACCGAATCTGGACATTAACATCATCGGGTACAGACTGTAGTTGATAGCTCTTTTAGAATTCCCGTGAATAATCCTTCGTTTATTTCATATATTAGACTCCAAAGACACATAAAACATAGCAGAGTATGTATTTAATTGATAAAGTTAATACGGCTTTTACGTGATTTCTAGTGAATAATTCAACTTATGATGGGTTTTTTTTTTCATTTAATGTAATGCATTTCACCAAAACACTGATTGGACAAATAAAGTTTAATTTTCTTTCCTTGAATTGCATAGCCTAATTGTAACCAAAATCATTCACTTTCAAAAGACACTTGAGTGACCTAACAAGTTACCCGATAATTTAAGAAGAGACTAGCTTTCCCAGACGTGTATCTTTTACCTGTATTGGACAAGATTCAGGTCTCTAGCGTACACATCAATCGATGAAACGACCATTTGGGTTTACGGTGGTACGTTGTTCACAGAAACCCTGTGTAAATAATTCGTACTCAAAATTAAACTCAAAGAGACCCGCACAAGCTTACATGCTTTTGCGCATGTCGAAAACGAGACGTCAATAACTTTGACAGGTAGTAAAAAAGAATTACGGTACTATTTTTTGTGTTGCATGGATCATTGGTGAATGTAGGTGTGTATTTCAAAGCAAAAGGTAAGCTTCGTATTATAATTTATTAGTCTTTTGTTTGATAATTTGAAAGTATACCAGTTTCTGTTTTCTTCGTTCTGTATTTTAGAGTTTTGTCAAAATACTAAATTAAATCTTATTCATATAAACTGTTGAAATTTTCTCCATGATTCGTTTGCCATATATCTTTGATTATTTTGTGTCGACCTTGTACAAACTCAACAGTAGAGGAATTTGATGTGGTATTAGATTCATAGATGAGTAAAATTATGTCTTTATTTAATCAAAATATGACCATGTCATTATTGAAATATTAAATAAGAATTATTGTCAAGTATGGTTCTATGGCATACACACACTTAAATCAACGGGAACTAATGTTTCAATGAGAACAATTAAAAATATTAGGCGTACTGTAGAAACAGTTGTCGACGTGACGTAATAAAAATGGGATATTTCAAAATAGGTCAATGACATAAGATTCGCTCCTCTGTTTATATATTTTATTTAAAATACAATCTTTTAGTCGTGTTACTCTTCTCTTTATTTGTTTTCACCAGTTTTAGCAGTCAGACTACGTCTGTCTATGTTTGTTTTTTGTTGTTTTAGTTGGTTTGTTTTTTAACTTAAGAAAATTGTTACAACAGCATTTCGAAATACAGATAACGGATCTGTATCGCCATACATGAAGTAAAACGCATACTATACTCTTAGACACCTATTGGTAATGATTAACTAGAATTAAATTTTATTATAAAATTATAAAGAAAGGAAAGAATGGGGCTTAACAAGACGGGAAAATAAAGAAGCCTTTCATGATGATTTAATGCAATCCCCTTTGACAACTAAGTTTCTTCATATATATGTTCTATTCATATACGGTTTATTCTGTACGGTGAATGGGGGGGGGGGGTATTTATGCTTGACATGGTATAGTGTCTTATTTTTCTAATACGACAAAAAATGTTTTGGAATTTAATTTGCAGATGGAAAAAAGTTAATATCGCGAGCTCATTACGTCGCACCGATGCCATAGTGATTATAGTGGCCTAGCGAATATTCACTGTTGATCAGACTGACGCTATGCACTCATAGGTAAAGATTTCGCCATTCTCTTTCCATTAATAGCACGGCGACACTAAAGTAGTAAATATATAAATGATATTTCATCATCAACATATTCCACTGTCATCGATCGTTTTTTGAGCGGGAGGGGATCACAGTGGTTAAGGGGGTAGGACGCTGGCTCGCTAGCCGGGAGGTCGGGTGTTCGATCCCTGCATTGGCCGAGAAAGTTCATCCAGATTTTCCGGCGTGGTTCCCCCTTGTCAGTGATGCAGCCTATGCCTATATAGGAATTTGTTTCCGATAAAACGTGTCTTTAACTTATATAATTGGTATGCGTGTCTTATCTTACACAATCTGTATGCGTGGTATACTCAAATAATGTATGTGTGTTCTTTACTATGTATGGGTGTCCTTTACTTACATAATCTAGGTGTGTCTGTCTGTGTCCTTTACTTAAATAATCTATATATGTGTGTGTCCTTTACCTAAATAATGTATATGTGTGTGTGGTGTGTCATTTACTTACATAATGTATATGTGTGTCCTTCACTTGCATATTGTGTATGTCTTTCGTGTATGCTTACTTCATGTATAGGTGCGCCATTAACTTACATAATGTGATTGCGTCACATAATTTAGGTATTACCATATTATTAAACGCGTGACATACATCGAGTTAACAAATAAATAATTTGTTAATCCACGAGTTATTGTTAAAAGGGTAGATTGCATTATAAGTGAAACAAAGAACAATTGAAATATTGTTCTGCGAACATTCATTTTGTTGAGAAAAGAAAATAATCGACTAGGAAGGATGAACACGTTTTATTTGATATCAACACCAAAACCTTAAAACAAATAAACATGTAGAGTTGATCCGTACTGATGTGCCGTTAATCTGTCTTTGTTGGGAAGGTGTAAATACCGATATATAGGACGTTTTACTGGCCAAGATATGAATGCACAAATACTGTTACTACAACGGGGGATGAAATATGATCGCTATCAACCATGCACAATAATAATAGTATCGCGGCTTTAATTTCTGTCCATTGTGATTGTCTGTCATGTAAACACGTGGAAAATACAGGTAGTCACTTTCTGATATAATTGATACCTTTATGTTATAATTGAAAGCATACAGCTAAAGGAAATATAATTTTTTATATCATTTTTTAAACATGAACACCAATTATAAACTGTGCGTTGGTTTCTTTTAAAATCTGTATAAAAATTATGATAAATAAGACTGGTATTTACCGGACGCTAATAAAAGATTGCGTTTTGTCAATTATTACCACAATTGTTACCTTCTACCCATACCACTTACACTTTTTCAGTTTCACAGTTTTGAAAGCTGGGGTAGTGGGTAGCAGTGCGGTAGGGGTACATGATTTCAAAAGAACAATAAACAATCTTTTCTTTTAAACGGGGGGGGGGGCGAATGGTTAGCACGTGCGCGACGTATGATAAGGCCTGTCATTGAGTCAACTGGCGTGGTTTCGAATCCCCGGTTGTACGTGACAAGGAGTAGGGTCGCCTGTCTAACCTCGTGGGTTTTCTCCGGGTACCCCGGTTTCCTTCCACTGCTAAAGACCGCTACGCTCTCTCTCTCTCTTTTCTTTTAAAATGGTTACCACCCATTGCTTAAAGTTACAATTTCATATTTTCTAAGAAAGCCAAAACATAATTATTTCTATGTATTTTGCTCAGTAGGTTGTCAACTCACTATTATGCGATCATAGGTTATCTTTCTCACACTTAAACATCTTCACACCGGAAATAATAACACAATTACCTCCCTTGTTTTCCTATTCCCCACCATGGAATAGCTATCTTCAAACGTTTGAATTTGAAGTTGAAAATGATACTTTTGCCAATTTCTCAACTGGCAATAGTGAATTATAGGATTAATAGGATCATTCTTTAACATGGTAGGACTGTTTATAGACACCATCTATTTTAGGGATTTATTTTAATACATTTTAAAAATATAACTTAAAAATATGAAATTGTAATTTTAAGAAGTTCAGAATTAGTTAACAATGTTACACTTTGTTAATATAAGCCTATTTACTGGAGGTTGTTTAATTTCCAATAAATCCAGTTAGTTCAAATCAAATACTAGACCGAATTATATCATATTGATCGATGGTTTGATTATCATGGCGATATTAGGGCATTGTCACGGTAGATGGTATCATAAACGATGGTAATATTAACCATTTTAGTTTGACTTAGAAAACTGGAATAATAATAATAATGACAACAGATGTTAGAAGAAACTGAAATGAAATGGGGTTTAAAGTCTTACTGTTCTGTCCGGACTGGGTTAATCAGATGTTATAATAAGTATTGGACAATACTAATTACATTCATGTAATATATCCACTTGATTGTTACTCCACTGTGAAAATATAAACGTTTTCTTGCTTGGAGATGAAATAAAATATGTTATTCACGACAAAACGACAAATGTTCTATTTATTTTATGATTTTACAATCATTTTAGGTAAAAACAACATGGACTACTTTAGCCAGTGGAATAACACTTTTATTTCACTGATAAAACGAGGTATTCCACTACTGATCATAAAATAAAACCTCTTACTTTTCTGCACCAACCGGTTTAATGAAGACGGGCAAACGCGATGCTTTGCAACAGTTTATATTCCCATTCGAATGACTAGGCGCTGTTCCTTGACAGATCCTCCATCCTACACCACTGACAGGGGGCAGCCACGCTGGAAAATTCTAAGGAACATACTGGCCCAATATCGGGATCGAACGTTCAACTCCCAGCGCCTTATTCTTTGAGCCACCCAATGCAAGGAGACATATTATTGCAAACATTATTGTCAGATACGTAACTAAGATCCTCTAAACGAAAGCGTCATAAACAGGCGTCATAATCATGATAATAATGACCCCCACCACCACCACCACCCCTAATACACACAGAAATGTCGGTCTAGTGAACTTCTAACTACCGCTGCAATAAGTCCTAAGGAGACAGTATAAACTTTTATAAAAATCTACATGTTAAATATCTTAAACCAACTAACATATCCACGAACAATATTTAATTTGAGTATTCACAAAACTTGATTCTGTATGTCTATTTTAAATTCAAGTAAAGAGTTATAATACTATTGGTTTATTTACTGTTAAATCGCCGTCAAATATTAGTCTTTTTGCCCAATATACTGGCATTTAATAGTCCAACAAAAACTAAACAAACGAGTTCTTTTGATTGGACAAAGCTTTGTCAATAGATGTTGAGTTCAGCTTAAATGACAAGTGTTATTTGGGTGGGTGTGTGTGTGTGTGTGTTAACTGTAGCTTACCATTGATGTCTAATAAAGTCTTTTGTTCACAGGAATGATAAGAATTGGATTGATGATATATTTAGAGTTACAATTAAACTAGGTCATTATAACCATGTAACGAATGGACGAAGGGCGATTTATCAAGCGTGTTCATATAAAGAGAGAGAAATGAGGTTTAACGTCCAGTCAACACAAACTAAGTCATTGCGGGACTTACTTATGGTACAATTTTGTTTCAATAATTTACTTCCGCGTAGGAGTATTTATCAGCGGGAGATAACCGGAGAACCCACGAGGTTAGACGGACGACCCTACTCCTTGTCGTGTGCAAGTGTGGGATCGAAATCCCGTTTTTTAACTTAACAACAGACCATTCGGCCACTCAATCTCCCCGTATTCATATAAGAACGGACATTTAGTCAAGGCAGTGAAATGAAATGAGGTTTAACGTCCTTCTCTTCTGCATCAAGAGGGCTAATGTAGTCGGTCATACGAATCAAACTGCTAAGGTGTTTTTTACGCGCACGCCAACGTGTACGCGGAATCGCGGTGTTTCGTCACATCCGAAGGATTAGACGCTTTTTCTGCCAGGCACTCTATCTTCTTGCACCGCTGACCAGGGGAAAC